TTTGAAGGAAAAAAAGAAATTATTTTAACAATCTGAATTATATTATTTTATATTATTAATAAATATTGTTGAACCTGGAATGAAAAATGATTAATAAATATTATCATTGATAATAATTGATATTAATTTATCTGGTAATTTAGAAAATAATATACAATTCAAATCTGAGTTATGACATAACAGGCCAAAACAGTATCTACAATCATCAGCAGTTTTCTCTCGAGAGCTCTAGATCGTGACAGCGGACGATCTAAACGATCAGCAAAGAAATAAAGATGAATTATTAGAAATATTTATGGAATTAGTTGTATTTGTATCTTTTCATAACTCATAACAAACAATTATTCTTTTCCAACCTTAAATAAGTCTTGATTATTTAAAATAGTTGTTCATATATAGTTTATTTGCAAATTTTATTGCCTAGGTCACCATTGATTTTAACTTTGGCAGAAGGTCAACTCTGGCACATCTTTGAGATTTATCATTGGTCCAAGGTTGTATGCTAAGCCAGGTCCGATGTTATCATTCGATAGTTCAACCATATCTGGCCTAGACTTGTAATTGAACTCTGTCAGAACTCATGACTGGTAAGCTAACTTTGATCCATACCTAACCCAATCGTACTTTCCTACATGGGTTAAACAGTAAAATATGTTTTTTGGAGAAATCTCTGGAATCCGTAGTCATTAATAGAGATAAGATTCGGGCTTACATCTTCAGTCGACAAAACGTCTTGATTTAATCGTTCATTTTACCACAGCCTGTCATCTCGAACTTTAGCTCTACCATTAAATTTATTAGAGGAGCATTCTAGACCATCATATTCGTCACAATCGTATGTGGAGGTGTTACAGCAGAAATAAATGCAAATGGAAGAAACCTTAGTGAAACTGAAACTGTGGTCATCGATTAGGATCTCCAAAAGCCAACAATTAGATTTGTGGTAATTGTTTTAATTGATTATATTCTACATTCTGTATTTTCGCGCAAATTAAACCATCTGCCTTGCGTCTTGTAATTTAATTTAAAGCGCCCTTTAGGAACGAATAACTGCACTATGATAATACATGTGCCTAATTATGATTATATACTTACCACTGTCCTCGATAAGGTTTACTGTTTCTTTTTGTTAATTTTGAAGTCAAGTTTAAAGTTACGCTACTGAATGAAAGTCCGAAGCATCCAACGTAATAGGCGCTAGATAATAACGTTAATTCAAGTTCACCTTCGAAAACAGATAAAAAACTTAATGGAGTAATTACACAGGGACAATAACCTTCTAAAGCATTTTGAAACTCAGGTAATGCTCCTTAAGCCTAACGTGTTAAAGTACAGCGAGCGCACTGATATCCCAAGCATATGCAATATTCTTTCCACAAGTTTACGTAAAATTTATCTGTCTAATTTACAGCCGATAATTAAAACTAATATGAAATAAAGTTAATTTGAATTCCGTTGAACCGGAAGAAACTATAATTTACTCTATTTACTGACACTAATGGTTTGATAAAACTAATTCCTTTAATTGATTAGTGACAAATTGGAATTTAAACGGTTTTTAGTCATACGTAGTGATAAGCAAAATTAGTCTTTTTTTGCATTTTCATAAGACCAAGACTGTCTTTATATTAGCAAGACCTAGACCAAGACCAACAACACCAAGATTAAAACCAAAATCGAACGAACAAGACCAAGACTAAAAAAAGACCGAATTTGCAACACTAAGACCGCGACTATATCAGAATGACCAAGACCAAGATTAAGACTAGAAGTATTAGAGCAATACCAAAACCAATACTAAGACGAGCCCTTGATGCCTAAGAAGGTGTTTACCAAACCACACGTACTTTAAAAAAATATTGCTATTATTTATTTATAAAAATGATACTCCATCTTATACCGGATGCGAAAGTGCAGACCATGCTAGAGAATCTCAAAGTATATTGTACTATGCGAATTGCCGCAACGTAGAAATAATGTGAACTCGTACGTGTATGTGCTTCCAAGAGCCAATCGGTATACGCACTTTCCTTACCACTATTGATGAGAGCGGCATTTTATAACTCAATACCAAGATCC